AGATAAAATAAATTGATTACTTGAGCAATTTAAACCTTTACTGCTTGATCTTCAAATACTTCATTGTTTGTAGAATCCCTGAAACTCCCCTGGAAACATCTGAATTTTGTGGAGCACAGCATGGAAACCACTGACCAGGAACACTCTCGTGCACATGGGAATATCCTACTCCACGCACATGACACTGTGCTTCAAGACAGCCTGGTACTCTTTGGCAACTACGATAATGGTGCCTGTGTACAGTACTTATAAAAAGCATGAAATCCAAATATGGGTAGTTATTACTTTTAGAAGGAAAACAAACCAATTTAAACTTACTTCTTTAGACTACTTTTTTCTTATATATTCCTACCAAATTCTTATGTTCATAACAATTCCTCCAACATGCTGCCACAAACTAGCTTTTCTCAGAAACTTCCATTTATATTTATTGCCTATATCTTGTAATTTCTTGAAAAGGACAAAGACAGAAGTCCATTCAAGGCCAAAAGCCTGCTTTTTCTACTAAGAAAGTGTCAGCCAAATTTCTCAGGGAGGAACTAGAAATGAAGTGAGAGACATTGATAAATTTCCATGCTGAACAATCAATAAAAGCCCCACCATTCTGTTCAGACTCCCACTGTGGAAGCAAGGGCCGTAATTACATTGTCAAAAATTCAAGTTGCCCAGGCTGACAGCAACCCCCTTGAAAAGTGACATGTGATTGGCACTCGGTTTGGGGTGGTGAACCCGGATTGGCAGACAGAGTGGAGAAAGCAAAAGGCAAGAGTGAAATTTCGTTATTGACTACAACCACCCAACCCCAGATTGCCCCTCTGGAGAGATCCTACAACCCTTTAGTCATATTAACTATCGAAGTGAGCAGCTGACAGAACTTACCATCTGAATTCCACCCGAGATTCAGAATATGCCTTGCCCCAATTTACTCCCAAACCCAGAGAAAAAGAAAGAGAAAGAGAAAGACAGCACAGCCTGTGGGTGTCTGTTCATGCAGGGATAGGGGGGTGTGTGTGCATGTGTGAATGTATGTTAATGCATGAGAATTTTTCTACATTAAAAGAAAAACATTAAACGTGCTTTCAACTCTATCTTTCCTCGTGACAACTAAACTGCAAAGCCTGTTTGCTTAGTGATTTTAATCTATGATAAAAATCAGCCATAGCAGAAGGGTTACAGGGGGCAGCAGCGAAGAGTGATATGGGAGGGAGAAGGTGAGGAAAGCTATATTATGACAGGCAGACCCATTTGTGTGATTCTCTATGACCTGAGCTGGAGTTAAATTAGTGTCTCTCACTCAGTCCTCTTATTACTGCACTACTGAATACAATGCCTACAAAAGGCATCATTGGCTGGGCAGCGTTCTCCTTCTGGCTAATCCGGGGTGCATGAACATGATTTTCAAGAAGACTTTATTGAGCCATGCCCAGAAATGGTGATTATTCACTACTGAGAAGCAACTGTACTATGAGAGATTACAATCAAAAGGTGTTCACTAGATGGCAGGAACAGAACAGAAGGTGCCTCGGAATGTTGCTACCTCATGATCGCTAAAGTTAAACTCTCTCTTGCTCTGATGAAAAGAGGTAGATAAGAAAATTAATAAAGAAAAAGAAAATGAGATGATTGGCACCGGGTATTCAGTGCTTTGGGAGGAAAAAAAGAAGAATATAATCAAAACAGCCATAACTAACACTATTTGAGTGTTACCGCATACCAACTACTTTGGAGCAGTTCACAAGTAGTAAGTCTATGAGGTGGATATTGTGTTCTCCTGGTTTATAGAGATTAATTTGTCCAAGGTCCTAGCTGATAAGCCACAGAACTGCACTGATTTGTGATTCTAAAACTATTAACCACTAAAAACAGTATTTCTCCAATTATAGTCAGTGGGCTACCTAAATCAAATCACATGAGGGTCCCATTGAAATGCACATTTCTAGGTCTACCTAAGGCCCACCAAGTCAGACTCTGGAGGTGAGGCCCAGAAAGATGCATCGTAAAAATCTCCTTGAGAAAAGTCTTCTAAACATTAAAGTTGGTAAATCTCCTCACTACATCATCCTGGAAGCTGAGTGAAAACTGGGTCATTAGGGGCTTTCTGGGCACAAAGCAGTGAATCAAGTTGCTCACTGTTTTGCATACTTGACAGCAGAAGAAAATTAGTTTTTCCCTAAAGCCCCAGTGTCACCAGACCCACCTCTGGCCTTGGGAAGAGGCCAGTGAAATTATGTAACGATTTTAACCATGATATACCACCATGCCTGAGGGATAATCAGTTTGAGACCTCAGGTGGTGAGGGAGTGAGGTGAAGAGGGAATATTGATGAGCCTCAGGCTGTTTCTGGGTTCTCTGACAGAGACAGAAGAAGGGAGTCCCTTTCATCCAGTGGCTAAGCTCTTTTTCATCTATTTTTTCCAAATGAGTGAAATGCAGCAGTATCATGTCAGAGAGGAAAATAGCTTGATTTTACCTGTGTTCAATGTACAAGCTCTGTGATTAAGAAGAGATCCTCATCACCCTAGTATGGGTAGGGCCTTGGAGAAATGGGGAAAACAGTTGTTGATGACAGCCTAACTCTGGGAATACAGGGAAGGAGAGGAGGAGGAGGAGAAAGAAGGAGAAAGAGATGGGGAGGGATACTGGTAAAGGATTAAGGGGAGGAGAAAAGATGAAAATAAGGAGAGCAGAGAGAGAAGAGAGAGAAAATAAGGAGAGCAGAGAGAGAAGGGCTAAAGTAGCAAAATTTCTTTTCAATCTTCAAAATTCTCAAAACATGTTAAAAGCATGCACTTTGCTATGATTGCCCTGTATCAATTGTAAGCAATGATGTTTGGGATTTTTTTAACTTTATCCCTCTTTAATCGCAGGTTTAAGAACATGGGGTACATTTAAAATATAGGCATAAAAAGGTATAATAGATCATGAGAATGAAAGTTTTTGCTCTTCATTTGAATTTCGATTTCTAGCAAGAGTTTTGCCATCTGCATCATATAGGACAGTGACTCTCAAACCAGAGGGTATCTATGAAAGATCTGGGGTCCTTCGGATGGTCTAGGTACTGGTAGAAATATTGATATGTGCCCTCTTGTTCTCCAGCTATGTTTTTCAGTGATAAACAGCAAAACATTGGGTTAGTGGCCTAAATAGCTGTTGGACTAAAGCAAACATTTGAAGATTGTGGCTGATGTGTAAACAGAAAACCCTTGTAGATCCTGGGCTATAAGATTAATGTAAGTGCTTGCCGATGAAGATAGAAAAAAATAGTCCTCCTTAGAAATAGAACATAAGAATATTGTAGGTATTTTTTTTTTCTTTTTAGATGAGGCAACCCTTGGTTGACCTCACAGAATTGCAAGGACTTTGTCGGTTTACAATCATTATTTTTTTATTTGTTATGCCTACAGCACCTGATCTTCCTAGGTGGTCTCGCATCCAAGTACTAACCAGGCCCAACCCTGCTTAGCTTCCAAGATCAGATGGGGTCGGGATTGTTCAGGGTAGCATGGCCGTAGACTATTGTAGGTATTCTGAATTTCTCTCCAGATAGTTTTTAAACCTTATAAAATTTATCCCCAGTGCCTAGTACCCTGGCAAGTCCATAGTCAACACTTACTAAATACTTAACAAAAAGATCTTACTTACTCTCAAAGGAAGCCAAAAGAGGCAAAGAGTGCTTTTTTAGTAGACAATGATTGAGGCCCAGAGTTTGTAATAGACAGAGCCTTGATGGAACAAAATGGATTCCTCAGCATAGCTATATGCCCATGTCTAGAAATATTATTCTTATGCCAATATACTATTGTTATGCCAATATATTATTGTTATGCCAATATAAAAAATTCAATGTAGACAAGATCATGTTTTCTGGAGATTGGGCCACTATCTAAAGACCATATTTTTGATCTGCTTTTGGCTCATGTTGTATAACCGAAAATATACAAGTATCCACTAAAATATACTTAAAGCACATCATTTTATACTTACATTTTCTAGTTTGATATTAAAATTTTTCCTGGCACAATTAGTAATTCTTGATTCTCGAAGGAAATAAAAATGTCTATTTTTCAAGTTGGATGAAATGATCAGAAAGCAAATAAAATTGGAGCAGAAACACACTATCGCCTAATCTCTGTTTTTTCCCAGAAATCCATAAACACCCAGCCCTTCTGAAGCAGAAATCTAAGAGGAAATGTAATCGAACCTTTTGCACAGGAGGGGAACATAGATACAACAACAAAATGAAGTTGTCTCGATTTGGTTTGCAATGCCATCAGTGTATACAGCCATCAGAATATGCTAAGTAATCATATCAGTTGTTTTTTACTACATTATGCTGCAATTACAAACACAAATCTGTTTGTGGCTTATGACAACCAAAGTTTATTCCTCACTCACACACATCAGCTGCAGCAGTACATAAGCTGAAGCTATGCCCTGGTTGTCATTATTCAGGTTCCCGGGCTGAGGCAGCTGCCCCCACCTGGGACAGGTTGTTCTCAGAGAGAAAAGGGCAAAATGGGCAAAGCATTGCAATGGCTCTTAAAACTTCTACTTAAAACTTTCATTTTGTTTGTTCATTTGTTTTTTAGATTCCACATATAAGTGAAATCGCATAGTATTTGCCTATTTGCCTTGCAGTGAGTACATCATTTCCACTTGCATTCCATTGACCAAAACAAGTTAATAGTTAGGCCCACTTTCAGTTTTGAAACTCTCCAGGTTTACTCTTAGAAGGCATTGAAAGCCACCTGAAAGTGGAAAGAAGTATATAAACCTCTTACAGGAAAGGGAGCAAACAACCGAGAGCTATGGTGTACTCTGCCACAGGAATCATAACCATTAATAATTCTAATTTAAGGAAATAGTGCCCATACTCTAATTAACTTTGTTGCCTCAGCAACTGACAGACAAAGATTTTTAAATGTCCTTATTTCCCCACTGCCCGCACATTGGCTAGTTACAGCCCTACCTTATCTCTTCTGGTCAGTTGCCTCACTCACCATGCAAGGAAAGAGTTCCATTTCTCACAGCCAGGAACTTGACACCATATGGATAAAAGGGGGTAGAGCGGTAACTCCCATAGAGTGTGATCTCAGCTTTGCCTTGGAAGGGCTTGTCCTCGGATCCAATCTGGAGTTCTCCACCATCAGAAACAAGGATAGAGTGTGCCCTGAGCTCGATAGGTCCTGAATCCATGAAAATCAGCTTGCCTCCTAATGGCCAAAGAGAAGATTATCAGTCCCTGGAAGGACGAGCCTCACCTCATTCTGACGGTTCCAATGTGTGATAAAATCCTCTTTGTTTATGTACTTCTGCTGGAATATAGGCTTATTTTGTCTTTCTCTCTCTTCTAGAAGCATAACAGAGTAGATCAGACACCCAGGAGCAGAAGCTCTATATTACCGAGACAGCTTAGGTTTGTTATCACTATTCACTGCTGCTTTATTTATACTATTTTTAATGATGATAACCTAAATGTCTGGCAACTTAAGACTAGTTTAATAAGTCATGAGGTTACTCTTGTTACCTTTTAGCAGCAGATTAAAGCAGTATATAAAAATTAAGTTTAAAAAAACTGGGAAACAAGTGAACAGAAAATAGGAATAGAAGAAAATGTGTCAAAATTACGATAAGAATTATGGTAAAAGAAAGTGTTATTCAGGCTACCATCATGACATTTGTAGTGTTTTGCTGACCAACCTCCATTGTACTTTTGATAATAGCCTCTCATATCATTAAAGAATTGCTCTGGTCCATTGAATGGCGTTGAGAAGGACTGTGAATCTTAGTGTCTTATCCTACCATAGCCTGAGTCACATACCCAGTCTTCAAAGGGAAATCTAAAGCAAAAGAAAAGAAAACACTGGAAATGTTTACATGTCAGTAATTCTAGTGCTGGTACCTTGATGCACCTAAAAAGAGTTCCTGTTTCCGAGACTTCCCCCGCCCCGCCAAACCCCTCCAAAATGCCCTGATTGCTATCACTTCTATACCTAATTTTCCACTTTCCATCAGTTCTATAAGCTACTCGATACTTTCCTAATATGTTTTCTTTCTTTATTTATTCGTTATTTGTTATGATTCTTAATCTTCTTCCTCCCTTTTCTGCCAAAAACCCATCCCCTCCCTCTGGCAACTATTAGTTTACTCTCTGAATCTATGAGTTTGTTTCATTTTGTTTATTCATTTGTTTTTTAGATTCCACATATAAGTGAAATCGCATAGTATTTGCCTTTTTTAAAGAAAGTTGGTTTCTGTTATTTGCAATCAAATAACTTTAACTGATATAGACACTATATTGCTTTAATATTTGCATTTTCTATAACAAGAATATCATTTTATAATAAAATTATTTTATATTGTGAGAATAAATATTTAATATGTTAAAACATATTTTTTTATTTTATGCTTTTCTTTAAAAGGAATCAAAATATTTATATTTTATGCACAATTTTCTCAATATTGCCAAAATAATTAAAGTATCCTATGTATACAAATACTTTAACCTCAATGAGGTATTAAATCTACCTCCCTCCTATAAGTGGTTTACAAAAGCAGTAGACTAGATTCTTCTACCTTGTAACAAAGTGATCAGAGTCATGACTTTATATTGGAAACACCAGGGTCCTATTTTCTAAACCTGAAAGTAACTTCCCATCTCACTCTGAATAAAAGTCAAAGTCTTTACATTGGTCAACAAAAAGCCCCTCATGATGTGCAGCCCCACCTCCAGTATCCCTGCAACATCATCTTCTACAAGTCATTTTTTCACTCCTCTGCCCCAAACACTCTGGCCTGCCTGTTAGTTCTCAAACAGGCTCAGAGCCCATGCATGCGTTCTTCCTTTACCTGGAGCATTCTTCTATCAGATATCCATGTGGCTCACTCCCCTCTTGTTTCTATTCAAATGTCAGCATCTCACAGAGGCCTTCTTCTCCAATCTCTATAAAGTAGCATGTTCTGGCTCTTTACCCAGATATATTTTTCTCTTCATAACACTTAATATCAAATATATATATTTACATGTCTGTTGTCTGTCCTCCCCCAACTAGAATGCATGCTTCATGAAGATTCCTTTCCGCTTTATTCACTTCTATAGTCTCAGTGTCTAGAACAGTGACTGATAGATAATTGGCACTTAATATATAATTGTTGAGTAAATGATTATATCTGGTTTAAGTACCTAAATTTATTTCCTTGTGGACACACACACATATACACACTCATTCCCATTTTCTCTAAAAGGATGTTATTATACTTAATTTATAAGTCCCTATTTGTTTCAGTGAGCTAACAGTAGCCAAAGGATGTGGAAAGGGCAGGTGTCAGAAATGGCTCAAAAGGCAGATCCTGCTATAATCATGAGGTCTTGCTGAGGAGCATTTAAGAACAGAGACTCTTCATCTGCTAAATTCAGTCCGAAATACAATGTGCCAAATTATTGAGTTGGACTGTTGTTTTCCAGAAATCACAACCTGAAGTACTTAAATATGTACCGGAGGAATTAAAGGGAGAGCAGAATAAAGCTATGGTGCCTTCAGTCATTTTTCTTTATGCCCCATATAATGCAGAGATAGTGATCAATTAATATTTGACCCAATAGTCAAATGTGAAGGCCCCTTCTTCCTCCTGCTGTCTAACATTTCTCTTCAGCTTTCCTTGGCCCTTTCCACCAAGACTTCTAGCCTTCAATACTAAACCCCAAGCCAACTCTACCAGTAACTGTCACAGAATGTTTTCTTGGGCTTAACCTCTTAAAGAGCTCTTTCCTTTCAGTCACAATTTAGAACACACCCCATTGTGTATCCAATTTCTCTGCCTGTAAAATGTACATGGTAAAAGTTCTTCCCTCAGAGAATTATGGTGATATTTCTTGAAATTGTGCATGTAGGTCCCTGATCTCAGCTCAGACAACTATTAGACACTAATGCAACGGTGCCTGTCGCTATCATCACATCCATCTTCATTTCCCCCATTATTGCCATTACTGCTCTATTTCTACAGTGGCTCCATCACTTTAACACTTCTAGACCACATCCTTCCAACATCTCACTGTTGCTGGCACCACACTGCTTACTAGACTTCTAAAGGACCTTGTGAAAATTTTGACTTTATTTTTCCTTCCATTGTCATTATAATGATAAGAATAATCATTAGAAATGCAATAATGATAATGAATCTTGCTGTGAACAAGAGAGAAAAAACATGACCTGTGCTACAGGTCATAGTCGTGTGTTTACTAAAACTTTTTTCACTCACAGACACAAGTGATTAATGTTCCAATTAATTACCTTAAACTGGTGGACCATAGATTTGCATGGCAGGACTCCATTGTAGTCAGGAAATCTGAACTGACCTTGATGAGCCAGTAGTGGAGGCAGGGTATGAAATCGAGGTTCCTGTCCTGACTCTGCTACTGGCTTCTTAATAACCCTCAGTAAGTCTCATAAAACTGCTGGGCATCAGATTACTCAATTCTCTAATCTGTCCTATTCAGTGCCTCTAAGGATAGTCCCTTTTCTCACTGGTGAAATGAAGAGTAGAGTCTTGTGTCACTAAGGCTCCTGCTAGCTCTGGAACATCTAGCATCTACATATTCAAGAATGCAGTAAGATGTGCATATGACACTGACAGAAACATGGAACTCATGTTTTTCTGACACCACTGATGCTGCAGTGAATATTTTTTTGAATTTTGCTTGAAAAAGATACTGCATGCATAGTCAGTTGAAATAAGACTTCGGTGGGGAAATAAAAAAAGAGAGTTAACACTTATTATGCACCTATCATGCACCAAAATACTTATATTTGTCATCTGAAATGACCTCCAAAACAAAATTAAGAGGTTGATATCACCCTCTGTATTTCACAAAGCAGAGATTGGGCTGCAAAAGGCTAATTCCTCTTTTAGTGCAGAACAGGCAAAGGAAGCATTAGAATCCAGAACCACCTGACGGAAAAACTCAGATCTTATCCAATTCCACAAACCCTCCCAGGAAGCTTTTTTATTAATTAGGTTTGTTATCATAGTTACACTTTAAGGAAAAACATGTGTTAACCTAAGTTAATTTGCCTATGGCTTGTTTACATACGATTTATTTTAATTTTGTTAATATAGATATACCTTGCCTTATTCCAAAACGGATTTGAAACAGATTACAAGGATTAGTAGGTAAATATATAAACATAGACTTTGTCCCTCGTATCACCAAGCAAAATGTTAAATACACTGATACAAATTGATAGAAATTTTAAAATGTCATTTACTGACAGGAACTAATAATCACACTAATGAAGAGAAAAAGCTCAGTCCAAAGAAAATGAATAATTTGTGATGGCAACAGTACTATAAACAGGACTAATTAATTAATATAATCATTATTCTCTGCTAAAAAGCAGAGAAAATCAGTGGCAAATATAAGAAAACTGAGGTAAATTAAGAGACTTTGATAAGGAATTCAGCTATTTTTTATTAAAATAACTATGTGATTAAAGCTTCTTGGTGTGAAAGAATGTAAAATTTATACTTAATCTAACTCTGTGACAAGGCCCTAAGTATATTATCCTCACACCTTATTAGCTTAAAACAAATACACAGTGGACTGCTTTAAAGAATAGTTACTTGATATGGGAGGGCAGTAGGAGGACTTTACTTCTACATTTTATAGAGCTCAACCCCATTTCTGAAAGCCAAAATAAAGAGCAGGGCTGAAATCAGCCTTTAACTGTGACCCCTTAAATTGTTTGTTATGATTGTTCATGAAAACTGAGAACGTCCCACAGTGACCTTGGGTAATTTTATAAAAATCAATCAACCATCATTATTGTTACTTCCCCTCTAAAATAAATAAATGAACACAACTTTTTACATCTAATCATTTCTTTCCATTAAGCATGTCTTTTGTTTCTTTTAAAGGGAAGTAAAATAGACTTTTAGCAGCTAGCTTAATGCTTGCAAAGTACATCAAAACCTGCTTTGTCTAACCCTACAATTAGCCGTCCTCTGTAATAACCACAAAAGGATTTGTTGTGTTTCTTTTTTTTTTTCAGAAAAACAAATACACAGTTTTAGCTATTTTCTCCCTTGCAGAAAAATTTAGAATATAAATGTTGCCATACAATAAGACTCTTTAAAAGAGACGGCTATACTTTCTATCTTTAATTCTTTCCCTCCACTCTCTTGAAACCTCCCCAGTTTGGGGCTTGTCTGATAC